TTTTTTTTGAGACAGAGTCTCAAGCTGTCGCCCTGGGTAGAGTGCCATGGCATCACAGCTCACAGCAACCTCAAACTCCTGGGCCCAAGCGATTCTTTTGCTTCAGCCCCCCAAGTAGCTGGGAATACAGGCGCCTACCACAATGCCAAACTATTTTTTTTTGGCCCGGGCTAGATTTGAACCTGCCAGCTCCAGTGTATGTGGCTAGCGCCCGAGCCGCCTGCGCTACAGGTGCCGAGCCAAGCAGAAATTACTTTTGATTGAGTTAGGAGAAGCAGAATGAGTTAAGAAGAACCATTCTCTTCAAGTCTGTGCATAAGACGGGCAGAATAGACATTAAAACAGCAAAAACTTAAGGAAAAGAATGGTTCTAAAAGAACAAATCCTTTGTGGAATCACAATAGTAACAGTAAATCTGCTAGATGTGCCAATGACCTCTGCTAGGGGAACAATCTGTAGCTGGGCTTTGCATCCTGTGGCTGTCTCCTCCCTTGGGGTCCAGCTCTTGGCCCAGGGTGGGCTCATTACAGACCAGCCCAGTTTTAGTCTGGGCCATGCTCTTCCAAGCAAAGAAGGAAGGGGCTATTGGATTCCCTTCTTAAGGAATGTGAGCTGATGGACACTGAGAGAATGAGGGGCTTTGCATCAGGAGCAAGCATGGGGTGATGCTTGGAGAGAATCCACGTGAGACCATTCAGGTGTGAGAGTGTATGACAGGCCCAAATTACCTCGTGCATAAGCCACAGCTGAGTTTGGGAAACATGCATGGTAGGGGACAAGGAAGCTGGTTTACAGAGCCACAGTGAGGGTGGGCTCAGAGCCTGGCCAAGAGCCAGATCAGAACCCTTAAGCCCTTGCTTTAGGCGGGCCTGGCCTCTGTTGCAGTTCCCACTCTGGTCAGGACTTGATGGCTTCGCTTGTTCCAGGTCCCGTGGACTTGCACTTTTGCCACACGTCCCTTATTATTTGAAGAACTTAGATGAGTCAGTTTCTTCAAACAAACAAGACCCTAGAAACAAATCTTCCTCTCTATTAAGCACTTACTATGTGCTAGGTCCCTTTAAGCACTTTATATACATTATCTCATTAAATCTTTACAACAACCTAAAGTATTAGTCCCATCTTACAGATGAGAAAACCAAGGCTCAGAGGGTAATTCACTGCAGAGCTAGGATATTCTTTTTTTTGAGACAGAGCCTCAAGCTGTCCCCCTAGGTAGAGTGCCATGGCATAGCTCACAGCAACCTCCAACTCCTGGGCTCAAGCGAGTCTCCTGCCTCAGCCTCCCAAGTTGCTGTGGGAGCACAGACGCCCGTCACAACACCTGGCTATTTTTTTTTTTTCGGTTGCAGCCATCATTGTTGTTTGGCAGGCCCGGGCTGGATTCGAACCTGCCACCTTAGGTGTATGTGGCTGGTGCCTTAGCCACTTGAGCCACAGGTGTCAAGCCAGAGCTAGGATATTCTTGTCAATTCCTAGATTATCTGTGAGACATGGCATTATTCAGCTATTTCTCAGTCTCAGGGGAGCTGTCCAGACCTGCCATTTACAGACTTTTACTTGCATGTGAATTACTCAATGGTCCTGTTAGAAGAGTCTGATGCAGCAGGTCTGGGATGGGGCCTGAGTTCTTGTGCTTTTAACATACTCCAAAGTGATGAGATGTTGCCAGACTTGAAGTAGCAAAAGCCTAAACCAACCTGTTAAACTCAAGCAGCTGCTTGGTAAATAGTAGTATATTTATGGCTCAGTGCCTGTAGCTCAGTGGTTAGGGTGCCAGCCACATAACATCGGAGCTGGTGGGTTCAAACCCAGCCCAGGCCTGCCAAACAACAATGACAACTATAACCTAAAAATAGCTGAGCACTGTGGCAGGGGCCTGTAGTCCCAGCTACTTGGGAGGCTGAGGCAAGAGAATCACTTAAGCCCAAGAGATTGAGGTTGCTGTGAACTATGATGGCATAGCACTCTACCAAGGGTGACATAGTAAAACTCTGTCTCAAAAAAAGAAAAAAGAGGGTGGTGCCTGTGGCTCAAAGGAGTAGGGTGCTGGCCCCATATGCCAAAGGTGGTGGGTTCAAACCCAGCCCCGGCCAAAAAAAAAGGAACAACCAAACAGTAATGTATTTATGAGGCAGGAAAGCTAGCCCTGTTTGCAAAACTAAAACTACAGAGAAGTTACAGAAACATTACGCCTTTCTAAATGTACAATAGGATCACTCATGTTTCAAGCTGTTCATTTACTTAGTGTAATTGAAATCTGTTAATTTTGATGTTAGTTTGTTGTTAATATTTGCTTAGGCTCTTAAAAGGTTTACACTTGATGTGGTCATTCAAAGATGGAACCAGTCATGTTTGTACAAATGGCTTTCCAAGGATTGAGAGCCACTGGCTTTTTTTTTTCTTTTGAGACAGACTCTGTTGCCCAGGCTAGAGTGCCATGGTGTTATATCTCACAGCAACCTCAAACTCTTGGACTCAAGTAATCCTCCTGCTTCTCAGCCTCCCAAGTAGCAGCCTCCCAGAAAGCTAGGATTATAGGTGTGAGCCACTGCACAGAGCCCCCTGCTTGCACTTTTTTTTTTTTTTTAGAGAGAGAGTCTCACTTTATCGCCCTCAGTAGAGTGCTGTAGCATCATCGCTCACAGCAACCTCCAACTCCTAGGCTTAGGCGATTCTCTTGCCTCAGCCTCCAAAGTAGCTAGGACTACAGGTACCAGCCACCATACTCAACTATTTTTTGTTGCAATTTGGCCAGGGCCGGGTTTGAACCCCCCACCCTCAGTATATGGGAGCAGCGCCCTACCCACCGAGTCACAGGCACCTCCCTACTGCTTGCACTTTTAACCTACCATGTTCTGCTGCCACGGAAAGCATCAGCTGGGAGGGGTACAATTAAACACTCTGAGAATGCCTTACCGATCAGCATAATGACCAAGTTAGCTGCTCCATATTTTTCTATCTCGTGAATCCAATGAGGGACAGACTCAAACGTGGACAGCCGGGTGAGGTCGTAGGCGATGATGGCCGCATGTGCACTGCGGTAGTAGCTTTGGGTGATGGTGCGGAAGCGCTCCTGGCCAGCTGTGTCCCACACCTGCATCTGGAGGACAGGAAAGAGAGTCACATCAGGAGTTCCCACATGTGATGGGAACTTGTCAACCTAAAGGGTCTTAAAAATATAGTTTCTGGGGTCTGACTCCTAGATATTCAGACTCAGCAGATCTGGCATGGGACTGTGAATGGATTCTTTCAGTTTCTCCCAGGGTGAGCTGGGCATGCTTTCCGGTTTGGGAACCACCACTGAAGAAGACCTTCCCTCAGAGAGGTGACCTTTTTTATCCTGGGGTCTGTGTTCTTTTGACTTTTTACCTCAATCATTCCTTGTGCGAGATTTTGGGGTTCATCTTTTGGGCTCACCTATTGATACAAAAACCAGCAAAAGTGAAAGCATTGGCTAATGTGTTTTGATTTTCAAGGGCCACTCAAGCTGCTTATGTTTAGGAATATCCTCATAATAACACCTTCCAAATAACTATCCCAAGTGTAGCATCCATTTATATACCGTCCAGCATTGAGGGGACCAACTTTTTTTTTATTTTTGAGACGGAGCCTCAAGCTATCCCCCTGGGTAGAGTGCCATGGCATCACGCTCACAGCAACCTCCAACTCCCGGGCTCAAGCAAGTCTCCTGCCTCAGCCTCCCAAG